AAAGTAATTTACTCTATTTTCCCCGAAGATAGAGTTGTACAAGTTGTGTTTTTATGATGTGAAACTCAAGGGGAACAGAAACTCCTTTGCCAGGGGGGCTCAAAAAGTCGTACAAAATAGCATTTTGAGAGACAGTGATCCTCATAACATGTCCTAAACGAGAAGACCTTGGTGTTTAATGGTGCCAGTTTCTTTTTGTTACGGTAGGAAATTAACAACTACAGATCACTGCACAGCAGATGTAGATGTAGATAACAGCCTCAACAATGAGCAAAACCCATAAGGTCTTACAAGATTTATTTGAAATTTGTTTTCTGAATATTTATGAAACACTTGTTACTGGATATCACAGTAATCAGGTCAAAGTGCAGAATATTAAATAATTTTTCTGAAGGGACATTGTGGAAATAAGCATAAATGTACAGACTTGTACGTGTATGTTTCAGTAAAATTCATACCTGCCAACTTTTCAAAATCTCCCTAGTGGATTTTAAGTGATAGATCTATGACCTAATTGGCCAATGCTCCTCATACATTGTATATTGTCATAATTGTATTTAATCTAATAGTAAAATATTGTTTGAATGAGTATGTTTGTGCTTAAATATCCTTTTAACTCATTTGAATGTCTGTTTATCATGGTTTATATAATAGATTATCAAAATTCTGGTAAAAAATCTCATGGGGAAATCCCCCATGAATTTGAAAGTTAGCAGGTCTAAAAATTGTTACTGTTAATATTCCATGTATTTAACTTCCTTTAGCATGTTTAGATCTAAAATTTGTTTGGATTAAAGAACTATTTAGTGACCTCACTTTGAATTAGTGTTATCTCAATTTTTGAAATTAATGTTTATTGTTAAATTGTCTTTCAGAAGTGGTCTACCAGTATTTGACGTGAGAGGTCCAAGGTTCCCCACTATAACAGTAGGACTGGTTCTCCTTTGTATGAGGGATTGTCCTATTAAAAAGGTCTGACATTCCAGCAAGATCTATACCTGATAATGAGAGGAAACACAAGAAACTATTTCCTGAGGTAATTTTGAATAAAACTAAATGGGGTATTAATATATATATGTGTTTACACTTTTGATAGTAATTTTCAAATTTTATGTACATGTCTATTTGTATCTTAGTTAATGGGATTTTTTATTAAATTTTATATTTGGACTACAGCCAATGGTTCATTAACACGATTAGTTTAATCATAAAAAAATGCAACATTGTTACTATAAAGTCTATAATATATATACAGTCGGGGGAATTATTGAAATCATTCAGCTGTAAATTCTATATTTGTTGAAAACATGTTATAATGAAGGCTTTACATAAAAAACTATTAAATTCTTAACAGATTTTTCCCAGTAGTGGGAGTATTTTTCCTGTAAAATTTAAGGTTTTATAATACAGATTATAATTGTAATAAAATTTTACTGTTTGGGGGTGTTGAAATTAGTCAATAGCGGTGGTAATCAAAATGATAATACAAATAATGTACTTAAAGAAGTGATTTTTGGGAAATAGTGGTAGAAAACTTGGTACTTGAAAAAAAAAATCACAAACTTTGAGAAACATTTTCACAAAATTTGATATACAAGTTATGATATGCTTTTCAAAATTGGTTCCCAATGTTAAATATTGATTTCTGACTTATTTTTTTGTGTCACCTGCGAATGCAAGTCAAACGGATTACAATCCAGTAACTGCGGAAACTATTTGCATTTAGCTTTATATTCTGTTGGTAGATGACTTTGATTCTTCATACCTTATACACAAATACTTTATGTTAACGAAGTTACTGTCTTCTGTTTCATGTGTCCATTGTCCCTGACATCATTTTCATGGTTCATAGACTGATTGAAATTTTTTAGTTTTTATACAACTGCAAATTATGTTGTTGTCGTTGTCCCTTGGCCAAAAACAAGTATTTTTCTTGTTTCAGGACAATAACTTGTGTATAAGTGTGTGGATCTCTATGAAATTGTAGCACAAGGCTTTATACCTCCGTTCTAAAGGAAAAAAGGGCAAAAAACAATAGCTTTTGTATAAATTGCTTATTTTTTAACCAATTTCAATGGGGTTTAATTCAAAGTCTTGAATTTGTGGGGTTCTTTAATATGCTGAATCAAACTGTATATAGCGATTTTCGATTTTTGTGCCCCGTTTTTAAATTGGTCCACATTGAGGTCCAAAGGGTCAAAAATTAAACTTTGTTTGATTTCATAAAAAATTAAATTATTTAGTTGATATGCCAAAACTAACCATGTACCCTATTTTGAATTTTTGTGTCCTTTTTGAAATTGGTCCACATTGAGGTCTTTTTAGGTCCAAAATAAAATTTTGTTTGATTTCAACAATAATTGAATTCTTTGGTCTCTTTGATATGCTGAATCTAACTGTGTATTTAGAATTTTGATTTTTGGGTCTGGTTTTCAAATTTGTTCATATTAAGGCCCAAAGGGTCCAAAATTAAACTTAGTTTGAGTTTAACCAAAATTATGTTCTATGGGTTCTTTGATATGCTGAATCTATCCAAGCATTTAGATTTTGGATATTGGACCATAATGCAAATGCAGGTAAATGTCCAATTTCAGATTTTTTTAAGTTCATATAGACAACATTCATTCCGTTTCAGAAACCTTGACTGTGTTAAATTTTAAATCACAATCCAAATACAGAGCTGTAATAAGCTTGAATGTTGTGACCATACTTGTTTAGGGTTCAACATTTGCGGTCGTATCAAGATGTGTTGTCTGGAGCATTTTATTTTTTGTTGTTTGAATTTCCAATATTATGAGTAATAGGATAACTAACTGTATTTGGTATATTGGTTCTTTGCAAGGTATACATGTCCATCAGACAGGGTTTACCTGACCTCAACTTCATTTCATGGATCAATGATCAAGGTTAAGTTTTTTTATCAGATACTTAACTATAAGCAACATGTAAACAATATTTGCTGTATGCAATGATTGTACATAAGGTATGGTTCATCTGACCTCATTTTCATGGATAATTGATAATGTTAAGTGTATGTGATACTTATAGTAAAAACTTCATATAACAGACTTCGCCTGTCCCAAGTCAGGAGCTTGTAAACTAATTCAGTTTTTGTTGTTTGTTGCTTTATATCTTATTTGTTTTTTGTTCATTATTTTGTACATAAACCAGGCCGTAATTTTTATGCCCCACCTAGGCATTATGTTTTTCGGTCTGTGTGTCTGTTCATCCGTCCAGTCTGCTTCAGGTTAAAGTTTTTGGTCATGGTAGTTTTTGATGAAGTTGAAGTCAAATGAACTTGAAACTTAGGACACATGTTTCCTATGATATGATCTTTCTAATTTTAATGCCAAATTAGAGTTTTGACCTCAAATTTACAGTCCACTGAACATAGAAAATGATAGTGCGAGTGGTGCATCCGTGTACTATGGACACATTCATGTTCTGAATTGTTTTACATTTGTCATTTCGGGGCCTTTAACAACTGACATTTCGGTATGGGTTTTGCTCATTGTTGAAGGCCGTACCTTAAGTTGTTAATTTCTGAGTAATTTGGTCTCTTGTGAAGAGTTGTCGTATCTTCTTATTTTTATATTTTCAAATTTCAACATAAATTCAGTCACAATAGTAAGTAAAGCAGGCAACACATTTCAGTGTCTGCACTCTTCTGTTCATCTTCGCTAGCCAAGGCATACGATCCAGTCCCCTCGGACAGGATCGTAACCCTTGCCTAACGAAGATGTCTTGTGTTAAAAATCAGAAATTTTGAAAAGCATCTTTTTTGTGCTAAGTTTTCAACAAAAATATATAAAGGTGTATACTACGCTATCCAAAAGTGTCACATTCTCGATTGATTATTATAAAAATTGGGAAAAGATTGGAGTAAAAATATATGTTTGTTAAAAATTTTACAGATTTGAACAAACAACTTTTTGCTTCAATTACAATAAAACTCAAGATCTATGTAAAATGTATAATATATGCTTTTCCATGTAATCTTGGTTCAATATTTGCATTTAAATTGGAGGATACAGTGAAATTGTCTTCTTATGCTAAGATTTCAACAAGGATTGATATGTAAGTGTAAATAAGTATTTCAAAAATTAGAAAACCATTTTGAAATAAAATTGGTATAAACTTACTTCTCGTTTAAAATCTCAAATTTTGAGAAATATCTTCTTGCACTGGAATTTATCAAAACCGATATATAGGTACAATGTATTAAGGTCATCCTGAATTGTTCCCAGGGGTCAAAAGTGTGGTAAAACCTTATTTTATGTGAAAAAATGGTAAATTTTGTGAAAAACCCGTTTTGATAGGATTTTAATTTCAACAACTTACCAGACTTAAGAAAAAACATATGATACAGTACAAACAATGACAAACAACTTAAGGTCCAGCAAGCCTCACTTGGTATAGACACAAACTAAGGTGGGATTTAACCAGTTTTATGTTCGCACACACACCTCCTCTTTTGCAAATCTGCACCATGTGTCATAATACTAGAACAAACACAATAAAAACATGCACAGTGCATGTGCAGCTACCAATGGGATGCCCACTAAATAGAACAAGGAAAAACAATATAATTTTTTGATGATTTATTTTAAGGTGAAATTGTTATTGATATATTAGAAAGGTGATTAAAAGATGAATGAGGTGAAAACCGCCATTATTTGCTAATCTATGACAATGAGACAATATTGCACCCGTGATGAAAGAGCCATTGGCCCCAAGTAATTTTCAACTTAACTAGTTGCAATTGATTTCCTATTCATGAATTCATCTCTGGTTCAATGCACATAACTTCAATAACAATTATTGTTAATGCCAAGAGTATCAGGACAAAATTTGGGTGTAATAGCTACAAAGGTAACTGTTAGCTTAAAACCAAGTCCCCAATCATGTATAATAAATAATTGATATTGGTTAATGTGCAGTAAAAGTAAAAATTGAATGTAACACTTGGTACTCATCAAGAATTTTATAGGCAACGCAGTGATGTTAAGGCAATTTCGATTAGATTTGGTCAGGGGGAGGTAACTCCGCAAAGACCTCATTAAATATTCATATATTCATTAATGGCGATGAGCCCGAAAGCTGCGTCTATCGATAAAAATGTATGATAACAAATTACATACATGCATGTGAATAAAAACGGGTATCAATATGGTGTAATTTATTTACTGAAACGCGAATATTGTATGTGTGTGCCTTAATTATATTGTAAACGGTTGCAATAGCTGTTTTTCTCGCGGAGATTGTCCGCTTGCGGAACCCCGCCTCCCTTTGAGGATCAACCAATCAGAAGACGATCGCCGTCGGAAAGATGCTTGTGGTTTGCAGAATGGAAAGCACCTTGCTGCGGAAAATATTTTCACTTCTACGTGAAAATCTAACAAGAAAAGTAAGTTTAAGACACCAAATTTGTAAAATATATGAAACATACATTGTTTTTTTTGTTAATCATTCCTTTCAGATGGCGAAAAACGGCACTATATAAGAAAAAAACGAGTTCAGTGTTAGCAAGTATGATATACACGTGGTCAAAACGAAAGTAGACTGCAAAAAATATATGAAATTGGAATAATTTATTGAATCTAGCGCTCCTGTGAATCTAGTCAGTAAATGAACAGAATATCGGATGAAATAAGTTCTGTACATCTTGCCAAGATCCCACTCTCAACACTCGCCCTGTAATTCGTTTCTAATTTACATTTTGTATGCATCCTGTCGGGTAAATTTTAACACTGGCTCCACAGTTGCTTCGGAGCCCGGTGCCCACATTGCTTGAGCCGGGATCCTTACCCCTAAAGCATGGAGACTGAACACTGGAGCCTTGGACACACAACCTTGTTCGAATGAACCATGAGCCCCTAAATTGGAGCCTGGGACACAAGAACCCTGATCCCTTAATTTGGAGCCCACAGACCATGATGTTAACCCCCCCTTACTAGAACATGCTAGAAGTTGAAAGCGTCGAAAGCAAAATAAGCATGAAATTCTTTCTTTTTTTTTAACGACATCATTCATATATAATGTCGTTAAAAATCAAAAACAGCATGAAATTCTTTCATAGATGTCATAATTATTTGGACTTATCCTGAACCTTGCATCTTTCTCTGATAAATGTCTGCACCTTGGATAAATTATCATAAAAATAATATTTTTCACATGTACTCAAAGTCATCAATATGACCAGAAGTCCTTTACTAGACGAAGTGTGCAACCCGCTATATAGTAAGGCGCTCACGTTGTCTTCGTACTTCCAACTGTGATTGAAAATTGCCAATTTCTTTGACAAGTACAAATGTATTTGCACATGTTTTTAGTAAGCGTTCTTGTTTTGTGAAAATAATGAGACTTCTCTAATCATCAACCTGGGAACAGTATATAATATATATGTTCCTGCATCAACCTATGACAAAATCATTTCTCAAAACAACAGTTATGTTTAGATTGAAGTACACATTGATATTATGTAAACAAAAGAAAGATTTTTTTACCGTGTCAGGTAAAAATCTATCACGCCTGCTTGGTTAGTACCTATATGCACTGTACCGATGATCGTAAAAATATATGTTACTATTTACCATGTTTACAAATTTCAAGAAATAAGTTTTTTTTTAATTGCACGGGACTTCTTCGGATATAAACGTTTTTAGCACAATTAACACATTGTACAGTAACACATTGTACCTTAAATTTTGAAAAAAGTAGGGATGACAATTTCGACTGCTATCTTAAATCCTGTGTTACTAGAGATCTTGACAGTAATACTGCCTCGGATGATGGTGTTGACGAATAAATGTTATTATTTTAGTCAGATATTATTACATTTATCCGTTAAAATACATATTTAAAAAATGCAGTTCATGATACGTGCATTCGACATTAATTTTACAGGTTAAAATTGTAGGAAAAGTTGTGATCACGATCTTTGTAAACAAATGAGTAATAAATATATATTTGTTATGTAAGTTTACTTCATACTGGGATAAGACGAAGACTTAAATTACTTTCAAAAACCTAGCTGTATGAAAATTTGATATAATTTGTTCAAATACTAAATCAATCTCAAGGGTTGAGTAGGGTAAAAAAACAAAGTAATCCCTGGAATTATCCGGTTCCAACAGTAAAACCCTTTCTTACAAGTGTGGGGTTGTATTAATTAGTAGCAGCCATGTCATGTCGGAGGAGGGACTTTAAACCCAGTACATTGCTTATTCAGGATAAATGTTACGCTTTCTGCATGTTAAACAACTTTTGCGACAACTCGATCTTTAATGAAAAATGTGTGATATATTTGCCACTGAACGATAAGATAGAAACAAACGATCAATCAAAACTTAAATCTGCATGATATACAAGTGTCTTCAGTCTTGTGAATATAAAACAACAAAAAACTGACTCACGTACGTATATAAATCTTATAATGGCAAACATAATGAAGGATATGTATGTCTCTTGCTTAAAAATAGCTAAAAAAAAAGCAAGAGACTTTTGAAATTCGAAATTGTTTCAAAGTCATCTGAAGCAACAAATGGTTGCTTATTTTAGACAAATGTAATTAGGTAGAAGCGAAGAAAATCCTGTCTTTTGCTAATTCATCACTGTATATAGCTTCCCTGGTGCCATAAATAACCGAGACATCATTCTTCAACACAATGTTTTATTTAAATAAAAATAGGCAATTTTGACAAAAACAGTGAGCTATCATATATATTGTCTTTCAAACAGACCATATGATTTTATATCTATATGATTTTATAGTTTTGCCGTTGCGCGATGAAGTTGGTAATAATGAATTCTTTTATAAAATTTTATATCAATTTTTTAATGTTGAAAATGAAGTTAAATAACTGACGATAAGAATCCACCACACCAAGTCAGCTCACTTCATTTTCAACAAACTGATAATTAATCAAACACTGAAGGAGACTTATTAACAGCTATCTGTTTGATGAAAATATTTCTACCCATGATTCCATAGTTGTAAAACGAGATTTGGGAAGACCACATATGATGCTTTCCACTGATTATGGGGACATCGTGATCGCCTTACTATATAGCACAGCTTGCACACTTCGTCTAGTAATGGACTTCTGATATGACCAATAGCAAATTTATATACTTGTTGATTGAAATGACCAATTTAAATGCATAGTCTAAATAATATAATATTATGATTTCTTGAAAGGCAGATTTGTTGATTTTTTACTGTGAAGCCTTCATTATATGACCATGATGACAGTCCATCTTAGGAAGACATCACAGCAAAAAATTAAAGCAGCCTTTCTAGACAAAATATTATTGGACTTATAGATATATTATGTAGTTTGTTAATCATGACTGCCCATCTTGACATGTTCTTTTTATACGCCCGTTTACGGGACGTATTATGGTATACCGTTGTCCGTCCGTCGTCAACATGTCGGACATTAACTCAAAAACGCTTTTACCAATTTGCATAAAACTTTTGTGAATTGTTTATATCTATCAACGTGAGCTCCCTTTCATTTTTTATTAATTTTAGATTTTACTTTTCCAAGTTATGGGGTTTTATTTATTAAAAAAAGGGGGATTTTCCAGTTTTCGGAAAATAACTCAAGAATGCTTTCACCAACTTGCAAGAAATTGTGGTGAATTATTTATATTTATTGACATGAGCACCCTTTCGATTTTTATATATTTTAGATTTGATGTTTCCGAGTTACAGGGTTTTATTCATAAAAAAAGGGGGATTTTCCTGTTTTTTCGGACAAAAAATAAAAAATGCTTTCAGCAGTTCTTATGAAATTTTGGTGAATTGTTTATATCTGTTGATGTAAGCTCCGTTTAGAATTTTATAAATTTTACATCTTACATTTCTGAGTTATGGGGTTTAATTCATTAAAAGAGGGGGGGATTTCCCAGTTTTCGGACAATAACTCAAAAATGCTGTCAGCAATTCTCATGAAACTTTGGTGAATTGTTTATATATATTGATGTAAGCTTCCTTTACATTTTCATAAATTTCTAATATGACATTGAGAATTAATTGAACTTTATTTGTTTATAGTCTGACAACAGATTTACTAAGTATTGCGCAACACCACAGTGTATTGCACAACAGCAAGAAATCTTTAATTGAATATAAATTCAATTCATATAACCAATGTCAAGTTCTTTGACTACATTTATTCAGAAACCTATAATATGTCAAATATTTAATTACAATCCAAATTCAGACCTGTATCAAGCTTGAATATTGTGTCCATTTTTGCCCCAACTGTTCAGGGTTGGACCTCTGCGGGCGTATCCAGCTGCGCTCAGCGAGGCAGTTTATTAGATATGGTTATCATTAGTCCAAATAATTATGACGTCTTGAAAGGCTATTATATTTTTTTTCTTTGACGCCTTACATTGAGGCGTCAAAGCAAAAATTTAAAATAGCCTTCCAAGACGTCATAATTATTTGGACTGGTTATCATCAGTATTTAATTAAAATAACACTGCATGCATGCAGATGATATCTATATACATGTAGTACATGTATGTACCTCAGTTATAGCAAACATTGTCCAGGCAGTAAATTGTTTAGTACTGTAACTTTAAAATTCAGAAAGCAATGCGAGGATTTCATGAATGTGAATAAAGCGACTGGATAATTAAGTATCACAAAAATAAAAACTCACATTCTGGTATCAGATACATGTATCTGTATACAGATTTTCCTGTCACAGAATTTACAATATTAAATTAACCTCATATTTTTGTCCTTTCTATAATAAATGCCCAAAAAATTTAAGAATTTACAGTAAAGATTCTAAGAAAAAACTATTATATTATAGATATATATGGTCTTCAACACGGAACTTTGGCTCACACCGAACAGCAAGCTATAAAGGCGCCCAAAAATGACTAGTGTAAAACCATTCAAACGATACAAACCAACAGTCTAATCTATATTCTATCTAGGTACAATCAATTTTTAGCTGGGTATATATACTGAACAATAAAAATTTCATTTTGGTGGAATCATGAAGCAGAGTCTTGGCTTAAATACAAAAAAATGTAGGCTGGCTTTATTTGAGCATGTTGATGTACATGTAGTTGTAAATTAACACTAAATCAGTGGCGAATCCAGAATTTTTCATAAGTGGGGGCCCACTGACTGCCTAAGAGGGGGTCCGCTCCAGACATGCTTCAGTGATTCCCTATATAATCAACCAAATTTTTCCACAAAAGGCCCCCCCCCCCCCCCCTCCTAAATCCGCCTCTGTAAATATTGCTTGTATTTTTTTCTTAGTTTAATATAGTTCTTGGAACACCTCAAACATTATAGGCCCTAGAAACCAACAAATTACAGAATAAATTTATACAAGTACATATATACAGTGACATATAGTTGCTAACATCGATGTACTTCATTTGGTCTCAGGTAGATAGTTGTCTCATCATGCTCATTGGCATGATTGGTAATCAAACCTCATACATGTTGTATTATTTTTAATGATGGCCTGGAACTGTCCATGGATTTTGTGTTGCCATATAATAAAAGAAAAGTTGGACAATTTTGGACTTTACAATGCAACAGAAAATGTGTGTGTAAATATTTTGTTAAATGGTTTAAAAAATGTAGTACTTTTTTTATAAATGTTATAGGTGCTTGGGAGATTTTCATAATCTTAGTAAAGGTTAAAGTTGTTCCCTAAAACATACAAATTACATTGGACACAAGAATCGCTACAATCTGTGGGTGTTTTTAATGGCCTGCTACGTAGGCAACGAGGGCATTTAGTGCTGTCTGTCCATCCAAAATTTAGTTTCCGCAATTACTTTAGTATGTCTCATGCAAATTTTATGAAACTCATACACGATTGCTAAGAACCACAACACCCAGACAGACTTTCGGTTGTGATTCATTTACCGTTCTAGAGTTATGCCCCTTTTTAACTTGGAAAATTGCAAAGCTTGAGCGGGGGCATTCATGTGCACTCTTTTATTGTAGAGTGATTTTTGTTCCAAAGTGATCTATCTAGACATGGTTACTGTTACCAAATTTTCAAACACTTGATTTTTTATACGCTTGTCGAAGACGGGACATATTAACTGTACCAATGTCCATGATGTCCATCTGTCTGTCAACACTTTGTAAGATAAATTAAATTTGATGTAATTTGATCACAACAATATCAAGATTTTGTTTTGAAAAAATTTGGCTGTGTCATTCCAGAGTTACAGGACTTTAAGAGGGTAAGAATGGGGTACCCCAAATGGCGAATGATGATAAAATATTTGTGTAAATAACGTTAAAGATAAATATTTTACTCCATTTGATGCCAAGTAGCAACAAAATGAGATATGAGATGAAAAATTAAGGCTCATTTGATGCTAACAGTAGCGAAAACCATAACCCCCTCCCCTGGAAGTTAAATGGTTGCTCCCTTAGGAAATTATTTATGGTTACTGTGATTTTAAATTAAATATATATTTTAACAAAGGTTGGTATACATGGTGTAGGGTTTAATTCTTACAAATAGTATTAAAATACCAGAGTTCTCAAAAAGTGGTTGTCCGCAGGTTTTGACTACCAATAATTTTCAAAGGACTGATGCAAGTTTGGTATTTTGCAACAGAAATAAAGTGAGGACTAGCAGATTTTCTTTAAGGACCACCAGGGAAAAAAGATTTCTATAACTCTTTGTCCAGTTGTCAGTGTCTAAAATTAAACCATGACAGCCATGAAATCAGATTCTGTCAATTCTTAATGGACAAGTTAGTATTTGAAACCGATCAATTAGAAATGTTCAAAATAAAGCCTGCAATCCTTATACATGTACGTCTGTAAAAAAAGGATCTGTTTATGTATTAAACATGTTAAATAATTACTTTCTCTTATTTTTAGTTGACCTGTCAAATGCAAGAAACAGAGTGCCAGTCCCACTATGATGAAGTATTAAAAGCTTTAAAATGGTTGGAATTAGGAAAGCTTTATTATTTGAACAGGTAAATTGATGCATTTTACTTTTTGCTCCTTATTAAAACTAGTTATCATTTGTTTTTGTATATCATATTTTTTTTTCATTTATTGTTATTGTACATGTACATAAATCAGGCTGTACAGTGACCTATATGCAAATATGGAGCATTAGATTCATATAACAAATAGTTTAATACATAAGAAAATCTATTAATATAAAGATAAGAAGATGTGGCATGACTGCAAATGAGACTACTTTACACCAAATGATGTAGATGTATGCATCTATATATAGGTTGCTTTGCTGTCTTCAATAAGCAAAACCCATACTATATTAAGGTTTAAACACCCCCCCCCCCCCCCCCCCCGCCCCTTTTTTTCCCCCTAACCTTGGACAGTAGTGTATCATTACAATATAGGACCAAACTGTAAACAATGGTCAAAGTTGGTGAAAAAGGCTCGACTAAATCATCGGATCAACATGTAGCACAAAACAAAAAGGCACAAAGTACTTGCAGTTATTGAAAGCTAGTTCAAATATAATTACAAGTTATGGTAAAGGCATGTTTGTGATACAAAAAAATCATCAGCTCACATCAATAGATTTGGTTTAAATTCAGCCCATAATTAAATATTATTGAACATTTTACTATACAAATACAGATGTACAGATAGATAATCTAAAGAGATAAAGCTATATATATAGTATACAGGAATATTTAATCTTCTGGTATCCTGCTTCTGTTGCTTGGAAACAGTTTTGTTTAAACAGTCTTTATGCATATTTTCATGAAAGAGCAATAATTAATCTTGCACTTTTGTTCTGTTTTCAATGGTCGCAATAATAAACGCATGCAATAATTTCAAAATTTACATGATTATATATCATAAAGGCTCTTGTAATCATGGTAATACTAGTAGATATGCTTAAATCTGGTTTAGGATAATATTTTTTACAGTTATTTGCAATTATCTATAACATTTTTTTATTTTAGGAAACAGATATGAATGAATGAAGATTTGGATCCCTCTTCAATTCATCTGAAAACCTGATGATTGAGCGTTCTTGCAAAAAATGTACCTAAGGAGTCAGATGGGCTAGTGCATTCATTTCCATAATCTGGACTCAGTGACTGTTCAAGGGTAAGTGGTTGTAACAAAAGTTTGATGTTATACTTATTTGTTGTTTAGTAGAGACATCAAAAGAAGAAGACTTTAAAAACATTTTGCCTTTTTCAGGGTCAAATTGAGAACTTTTCAGGTCGAATGACATAGTCTGTTTTACCACTACAGTACAGTGCATGAGTGTTTTATCTGACACCCTTCTCTTTTTAATATGTCCGTCAACTAACAGAAAATGAAAAACAATCATAGTCAGTAAATCTTGTTAACTTTTGATTTTACCAAATTATAAAGAATTAGGCTTTGCATTAATTTCCACTAATTTCGTTCAAGAGTTAAGGGACTTTAAAATTTCACATAATAAGCAATATTTCAAGTTTTGCACATTAACAATTTATGAAGAATGTTTTTCTTATTTACAATTTTGATTCTGGTGTTCTATAGTTTTGATACTTTCATCTTAAAAAATGTGCCTCTGTATGTTATTTTTTGGTTTTGTTTACTAGGTAGCTATAGCTAGGACAAATGAATATACAGGACTTTTCATTACTGCATTTAAATGAATTACTAGTTCTAATTTTGTGGAAAATTAAAGGAACATCAAAATCCTTATTATATACAAACTATTGATCTGCATATGTACTGTTAAAGAACAAACATCCTGCAAAGTAGTAAAGTTATAATTTAAAAACTGCAAGTGTGTGCTTGAAAAACCATATACAGGTACCTAGCATGAATAATTTCACCAAATTTAAACAAATGACAAAGTTCAAATTCCTGTGATTTGAGGAAAATATAAAAAGAAAGACAATGAATCCTGATAATATGCACAGCAGTAATATATTTACTTATGCCTTTTATAATGTAAAAAGTTCTTGCCTTAAAAATGAGGACTTGCTCAATGAAAAAACCATTAACACTATGTAGGGTGGACTAACATTGGAAGAACAATAACTTTCCTCATACTCTTCTTTGAATGGGGCATAACATGCACAGTTTGGGGTTATATTTTGATGCTCTATTGACACATTATTGGTCTATTGCCTAGATTTTTACTTTTATGTTAAAACTGCTGTCCCTGCATTCTGTTTATTGCTTGTGGGATAATGTTCTGTTTAGTTTATGTGATTAGTAATTTTTGTATTTTTTTCTATTTCAGCTTTACTCAATACCCGAGTGTACATTTCCAGTTACTATTTACAATGATTTATGTGTAACCTAAATTTCATATTGTTACACCTTTTCGTCACTAGTCAGATAGAATTAGACACATCTCTGGAGAAGAAAAAATCTTTGTAACGTTCAAGACAGAATTAATGAAAAGGATCAAGAACTAATACAACTATATGCTTGTAGTACAGATGTAAATTTTTTGGAAATGTTTCAAACTGAAGCAACACTTTAAAGCTTTCCGATAATATATTAAACCAGGAGACGTATTAGCTACAATTTAATTTTAAGATGACACTGGACATTCTTAGTTGTTTATTACTCAATGAATAGTTAGTTTATAGCATAAGTTATTTCGACCCTATTCATCTGTTATAATGATAGTTACTTCATTTTAAAAAAAAAATGCATTGATATTTGTTTATGATCAATGATTCAGAAAAACAAGTGTTTGTTTGTTTGTTTTCTTTAGAAAATTTAATACCAAGAGTGAAGGTCTTTGAAATAGAAATCTATGGATTTTCTTTTCTTTATGGAGTAAAATGGTATTTCATGTATATGTTGTATCAAAAATGTAAATACAAGAAATAAATAACATATCATCAATTACTAACCCTCTTCCTTGTATGAGAAATATGATGACTAGACAAGTCACATATTATGATCTGCATTCCTTATAAAATAAGAAAATATGGTATGATTGCCAATGAGACAACTCTCCACAAGAGACAAAAGGACACAGAAATTTAAAAACATCTGCAGGTCACTGTATGGCCTTCAACAATTAGCAAATCCCATACCAATTATTCCTGCTTATAGTATATCCACTTTGTACTTTTTTATTGATATTGGTTGAGCATAAAAATCATAAGGTGATATGATTGCCACTGAAAGAATCTCTAAAAATCTATTATAAGGACAATGGTGTGATTGTTAAGTTGATCAAGGTGCATAATTGCTAAATATACATTGTAGATTAAATATATACCGGTATATATACATGGTCTCAAAATAGAATAAAAAGATATTTGACATTTTGTACAAGACATCAACACAGGTATAATTTGAATTGTCGCCTGCCTCATTTCTATCCTGTTTGAGCTGAGTAACAAAACAGATTATGTTTTGTCCTTCATACACTGCAAAGAATGAGATGTGTTATCATTGCCATTGACACAACTACCCACTAGAGTTTAAATGAAGTAGATGTACGTGTAAGCAAATATACTTAGCCACTGTAAAGCCCTCAAAAATGAGAAAACCCATACTGTAGTATTGGCTATTAAAGGCCCCATTCTGGTAAATGTGATATAATTCCATAAGACAGAAAATTAACCAACGACAACCACTGCACTAAAGGCTTGTGATTTGGAACAGGCATATAAAGAATGTGGTGGGGTAAACATATTTGTGAGTGCTCAAATTCTAACCTCGAAGAGTAGTGGAACACAGCATAGAACAATTTCATAAATTTCGCTTGAATATTAACCACATGATTTCAGTGTGTTATTGAAATTCTTGAGCAGTGTAAATTTTGCTGGATCAGTGGAGTAGAACATATAATTAACCAGTTGTGGAAGTGTTTATAGTACAGCAAACAATTTGTATATTCTGAGAGCCTAGCTCAGTTGCGTGATTCTCCCTTATATTCTCTTTTCCATTACCAATTTCTGCCACTTCAAACATTTACCAAAGTACATAATTTTTCACACTGACTTTGAGAGTGGTGTCTGCTGAAAATTTTGTTGTCGAAAAAATGCAGACTATATGAATGCAGATCAACTGTAATCCATACAAATAAGAATTATGACTGGAATCAGGTAGGTGTTGCACAATTAAAAAAATCAGTTTTTACGAAACTTGGGACATTGCCACAGCCAAATTTTGAGGGGGGGTGGTGCTTCATGAAATGTTTTGATTGTTGGACATTTATAGCTTCTTCAAGTTCAAGAAATAGCATTTGTAGAGACTGTTTCAATATCTAATTATTTTGTATTTTGATAATAGTCATTATGAGAATCTCTGATTGGCTATAAACATTACACTTAACACTGATGACCGTACCCCCCCCCCCCCCCCCCCCCCCCCCCCCCACACACACACACACACACACACACACTGATGGCAGAAATCACAGGCATGACTCAAAGGAGGGGATTCATGAATCCTTTTTACATTTTTTTCTCACAAATTTGTGTAAACCTTAATTTAACACGAACTATATAATAAAAAAATGCACATCTAAAAGCAAATCTGGGAAAATACTGTTGACGTGTTGTTTTAAGGTCTTTTTAACAAATTATTTTTTTATTCTTACAAGGATAAAAGTTGCAAATATTTATATTTAATGAATCATTGAACAAATATATCTCCAATATAAATAAAACATTACTTGAAGTCCGTAGTTTAAAATACGCGGCACTTATACTTTTCCGGAGTTTTGTCCGCTATTGAGTACAGCCGATCACGTCATCAAAGCGTTTGTTGATAATGAACGTAAAACAATATTACACGGTACACGATTAAAAAATTAAAAAGTCCAGTGTGTTACTGAAGATGGATTTACTTGATTGGACATGATTTAAAACGACTGATATCTATTTGAAAAGAAAACTGCTATCCAAACACTGGTATGCGTTCATATCATTGAGATATCACAGTATCAAATGGGGATTTCGTTAAAAAATCACATTTTTCATCGGATTTATATTAATTTTTACCGTAAGACAGCATAGTTCAATCTTTGGATAGCAGTTTTTAGAAAATATACATTCAAACGAATGTATTGATACTTTGTTTCACATTCAAAGATTCCTTTAACACGCTGGACTTTTGAGTTGAAAATGTAATGTACGACCTTCAGTTGCGACTCGGGTCACGTGACTACTTTCACTTTCGATATGAAACACCCATGCAATATTAAATATAGGTCTTTATGTTTCATTCTACGATCTCTGTTTTCCTGATTTTTTTTGCCATTTTCTTATGATATGCACTTCAATATAACATGCAATTTTACGCATTTTTCATGTAAAGTGCCTTAATATCACTGCGAAATCAATGGACTCAATATTGTTGGTCATGGTGAGTAGGAACATTCCAATTTTACCATAGCGAATCTAACAGCGGGAAGAAAATAAATAGCAATACCTTAATTGATTTTTTTCTGATAATTTTGGCCATTTATGCAAACTTTAGAAACAGTAGGTGACAAGCAACCCTATATTAAGAAAATCATGATCTAGCTTCACTTTATTAATAAAAAAAAATCCTCTGTAATAATATTGGAAGTTGAAAGAATTACATGTACTTTCTAATTGTCTAGTTGGGATGCTTCAAAACAAAAATAGGCTTCATAATTTTATAATTTTTGGGAATAAAAAACCTACAATACACCAGTTAATAGGAGCACAGAGATTTTTTTAATTATTTCAATACATGTACAATGTACTAGGAACAGACTATGTTGACACTTCCCTTCTGTAAAAATATGAATAAAAAATTGTAATCCTCCTAAAAAAACAAACAACACCATTTAACTATTCAAATCACAAAAGAGGAATATTTTTTGGTATACGGGATAGGGGTTAAATAAAAAGTCGGGATGTTGGATAATTCATTTGTTGGGGGGGGGGGGGGGGGGGGGAAACGTGGAATGTGTCATCTAAGAAATAAAAGGGAGAGAGTTTCAAATAAACAGCGATTTAGGAAACGACCCATCCACTCATTTATATCAAACAACAGCCTAATGTTGCAGTCTTCACGATAAACTTTTGAATCCACAAGCCCGAAGCTTAAGTTTACGAAATGATTGGTTCATGAAACATGGATTATGATATGCATTATGGAATGAGGGAAACAGTCGACAATCTATTTTTCTTTGGTGTTTATATGCATGTTTCCCCCTGTTATCAAATCAAGAATCAATCAGTTTGGTATATTTGTTTCCATCAAGAACAGGGTTGCATTCAATATCGTAGAAGCTACATACTGTCATAGTGCTACGTAGATTTTTGCCTACTGAACGAGTAGCTAGCCTAGCTGTTATCAATATTCATGTAGCAGCTAGGCTAGCTACACGTTCAATAGCCATAAATCTACGTAGCCCTATGAAGCCGCTACGATATTGAACGCAACCCAGACTTCAATCTGACGTTTAACGCCATTTTCAACTGGTACCGTATGTGGACGTTCGACAAACCGGGAACCGAAACGTTCAAGTTCAAGGCCATCATTAGCTCATACCGACCGTTAATATTTGTATATTCCGAAGGCATACTGAATATTTTACGGAGGGAACCAACCTAGTGACCTGCTGACTTGGTACAGATACAAAATGTTATGGGGCTAAAACAGTTTACGTGGGCACCCATTTGCCTATCTAAACTATATATCGTAAAACTAAAAGAGAGGTAGAAGATACCAAAGGGATATTTAAACTTATAAGTCGCAGACAAACTGACAACACCAAGACAAAAACAAAAATAAATAAAAAACGAAAAATGACCAAAAAACAAACACTACAAAACACAACATAGAAAACTAAAGACTAAAAAAACACAAAAATACACAATAAAAAACGTGATCAGCGCATCAGTTGTGTCATCACAAAATGTATTGAAATCGGCAGACTATTTGTTTACAAACCGACGCCTAGTGATAGCAAAAGCAAACATAGCCTTTTAGTGGTATTACATTATTATTATTATAAAGTGGTGAGCTGAAAAGGGTTCATATATATGCAGTCAGATGTAGCAGGATTTTCTTTTGTGATACTATTTCTTTAAAATTCAAACACTATTTCGACGTTATAAAGACGAGCAAACCAGTCGGCTAAATCGCCGTGTTGAATGTATGCTACGAGTTAATATATGTTTATGAAAATCATAAGTTATAGAAACACGTGTACATGTTAAAACGTGGGCTAAATACACTAACGTTAGTGTCGTTACTGTTGTTTACTCCATCATGAAATTCATATTTGTATGTGTTTCGTATTTTATCCTGACCAATAATTTCAAATCAACTGACGAAGATGACGCGAGAAATGAGAACAGTAGTGTTATACCACAAAACAATGAAGATCCTGTTGAAATGGTCTCTGGTAAGTTATGTTGAAGGTCTGACAAGTTACCATTGCGTAACAATAGTAATATAATAACACAAAAAAATGTGTCATTTCAAATCCACCCAATATCCCAAAGAGAAAAAGACCACGTGACTCCATGCTGGTATGTATGTCCTGATTCTAAATGTCCAAAAAGTGATAGATTTGAGTGTCCGCCCAACATGTGTGATTTCAAAGCAACCCAATGTATTACAAAGCGAAAAAAGACCTCGTGACTCTATGCTGGTATGTATGTGTTTCAAATGTACACGAGTTTA